AAAGACCTCTGCCTGAGACCCTGGAGAGCTATGGGAAGGGGCTGTGGCTCAGTGGAAGAGCCTCTGCTTGGCATGCAATAAGGTCCCAGGTTCAATCCCCGGTGGCATCTCCAGCTAAAAGGACCAGGCAGGAGGTGATGGGAAAGACCTCAGTCTGAGACCCTGGAGAGCTATGGGAAGGGGCCGTGGCTCAGTGGAAGAGCCTCTGCTTGGCATGCAGAAGGTCCCAGGTTCAATCCTTAGCAGCATCTCCAGTTAAAAGGACCGGGCGGGAGGTGATGGGAAAGACCTCTGCCTGAGACCCTGGAGAACTATGGGAAGGGGCCGTGGCTCAGTGGAAGAGCCTCTGCTTGGCATGCAGAAGGTCCCAGGTTCAATCCTTAGCAGCATCTCCAGTTAAAAGGACCGGGCGGGAGGTGATGGGAAAGACCTCTGCCTGAGACCCTGGAGAGCTATGGGAAGGGGCTGTGGCTCAGTGGAAGAGCCTCTGCTTGGCATGCAATAAGGTCCCAGGTTCAATCCCCGGTGGCATCTCCAGCTAAAAGGACCAGGCAGGAGGTGATGGGAAAGACCTCAGTCTGAGACCCTGGAGAGCTATGGGAAGGGGCTGTGGCTCAGTGGAAGAGCCTCTGCTTGGCATGCAGAAGGTCCCAGGTTCAATCCTTAGCAGCATCTCCAGTTAAAAGGACCGGGCGGGAGGTGATGGGAAAGACCTCTGCCTGAGACCCTGGAGAACTATGGGAAGGGGCCGTGGCTCAGTGGAAGAGCCTCTGCTTGGCATGCAGAAGGTCCCAGGTTCAATCCTTAGCAGCATCTCCAGTTAAAAGGACTGGGCAGGAGGTGATGGGAAAGACCTCTTTGCCTGAGACCCTGTTGGGCTGCAGCCCGTCTAAGTGGGCCGAACTGTCTTGGCTGGACCAGTGGTTCTGATCCGGTCTAAGGCAGCTTCGTGTGTTCGTGTGCTGCAGTGTTCTTTTTGTGCTTCTGAGCATGAACAGGATATGGGAGGCAGGGATGGGGCGAGAGAGGTGGGGCAGACAGAGGTGGTGAAGCCGGCCGGAGTCTGCAGAGTGTGGACACAGCCTGAATGTTGCTGGAAAGGAGGACTGGGGGGCTGCTGCTTCAGTGTGACTCCTGGCCTGTCCCCGGCACCAGGCAAGGCCTTCGCCCGAGACTCCCCTCGAAACAACGTCCCTTTCAGGTGGGGGCGCTGGGGGAACGGGCCCAGGACCTCCTGCACCCAAAGGAGGGGATCTCCCACAGAGCCACGGCCCTGCCACTAATCCTGAAGGGAGGGCTGGGGCAGTTAGGGGAGGAGGGGCCAACTGCAGGAACTCAGTCCTCTGCCCCACATCGGCAGCCCTTCCTCCCCCCTTCCCCCTTTTCTCTCATCCCTCACCCGTCTGCAGCCTCCATGGGAGTCGGCCCAGGTGGGAGTCGGCCGTGGCTTGCCTCTCCGCAGCAACCTGGGACTTCCTGGGTGGTCTCCCCTCCAAAGACCCACCAGGGCCAACCCTGTGTGGCTTCCAGGATCCAATGAGATTGGGCTAGCTTCGGCTGTACCTAGCCCATACCTAGCCTGGACCATACCTAAGTGCCATTCCTAAATTCTCCAAATTCTTGTAGAACAGGTGAGGTGCCAGGAGATTGGAGGCGGGCAAATGTTGTCCCCATCTTCAAGAAGGGGGAAAAGGAGGATCCGGCTAACTACCGACCCATCAGCTTGACGTCTATACCTGGGAAAGTTTTAGAACAAATCATCAGACAGACAGTCCTTGAGCATTTAGAAAGGACGGCTCTGATTACTAAGAGCCAGCATGGGTTTCTCAAGAACAAGTCATGTCAGACTAACCTTATCTCTCTCTTTTTTTGAAAAAGTTACTACCTTGCTGGATCAGGGGAATGCTGTAGATGTAGTTTATCTTGATTTCAGTAAGGCTTTTGATAAGGTTTCACATAATATTCTTGTTGACAAGTTGGTAAAATGTGGTTTGGATCCCATGACTGTTAGGTGGATCTGTAGCTGGTTGACAGATTGCACCCGAAGAGTGATTGTAAGTGGTTCCTCATCCTCTTGGAGAGGAGCGGCAAGTGGAGTGCCTCAAGGATCTGTCCTGGGACCTGTTTGGTTCAACATGGGCAATTTTCTCAGTGGAGGGGGGTAAGAATGGATATGGGGAGTGTTCTGACGGTCAGCCGAGAGGTTGGTGGGAGGGAAGAGAGGGGGGAAAGGGCAGCCCGGAAGATCCCATTATATCTAGATAAGTTGGTTTCACTGCCAGGCAGGTGGACGCTCCTGGATCCCTAACCCTCATTTCTCTTTGGTAGAATAACCTGGTCTGAACCCTGGAATCACTGAGAGCCGTCTGTGCGGAAGAACTGCTCCTGTCAAGAGTCGATGTACCAACTCGGGCCCTGATCCGCCTCCACTATCCCAGAGTGCCCTCTTCTCTCTGTCATCTTTCCGCCCAAGGCACACCAAGATAGCCTAATTCTCTCTTCACTCTGAAGGGTCATGCTGGAGGGGAACCATGATTAAAGACACCCTTGCAAGTTCCAAATGTGTTGAGATTATTGAGTCTCGTGTGCAGTTCTGGAAGCCTCCCTTCAAAAAGGATGTGGAGAGAATGGATTGAGTGCTGAGGAGAGTGACGAGGATGATCGGGGGCCTGGAGACCAAGAAGCCCTGTGAGGAAAGGCTGAGGGACTTCTTGGGGATGTTCAGTCTGGAGAAGAGGAGGTTCAGGGGGGACGGGGTTGCTCTCATAAAGTATCAGAAGGGCTGTCACTTCAAGGAGGGCAGGGAGCTGTTCCTCTTGGCAGCAAAGGAGAGGACTTGCAGTAACGGGTATAAACTGAGGGTGGGAAGATATCAGCTGGATCTTAGGGAAAAATATTTTGTCAGTAAGAATTGTGCAATGTTGGAATCAGCTGCCTAGGGAAGTGGTGAGGAAGTCTTGAAGCAGCGACTGGACAGACAAACCCTTGTCAGGGATGCTCTAGGCTGATCCTGCATCGAACAGGGTGTGGGACTAGATGGCCTTATGGCCCCTTCCAACCCTGTGATTCTGTGATTCCAGATAATCTCAAAGAGTCCAAGAGAGCACCAACTAGACATTCTTGAGTCTCCCCTGGTCTCGGAGTAGCCCACTGCCGTTTCTGACATTCAGTCATGGAGGAGACTCTAACAGAAATAAAGGTGCAAGCTCCCCTCAGGGGCTTGGAGGGGGGGACAGAGGTCTTGGGGGGGGCAATCTGAACACCATCACAGACAGAGGACAGGTGGAAGATCATGTGGTTATTCAGTCTTCTGCAAGGGGCCAATTATCACCCACCCCCAAGATTTCCATTTGTTGTAACAGTGCATGGGAAGGGGGCATAAGATATTTCTCAGCTGTCGAATGCCTGCGCGATACTACTATACCAGAACCATGGGTCTGCTGACCCCTCTTGGTAGCCTCTGGTAAGTGCAATGAATCCCTCTGCCTTTCTTGGCCACTGGAGGCAAATTGGTATAATCCTCCAAGGAACCAAATGCAATCCCTGTTGATAGCACTGAAAATTAAAAGGGAAACAATATTGGGGGGGGGGGGATTGTGATGAACACAGTAAAACTGAATTGAGGATAGAATCAATACAGAATCACCCCTGCATGCAAAGGGTGTGCTCTTATTGTAAGGGAAGAGTTCCTTCATTAGGAAAGGTGCATTGAGCCTACCCTTAAACGGGGCTAGCTGGACCGTCACTTGGACCCAGAATAGCTACCACATTCCTATACTGACACTTTCCTCCATCTTTGGTGATTTCATAGGATCATAGAAAGTTAGCGTTGGAAGGGACCTTGCACGTCATCTAGTCCAACCCCCCCTGCACTCTGCAGGACCAGAGCCGAAAGACGGCCCAACAACATACCCGAAAGAGGGTCGTCCAGCCTCCACTTGAAAACGTCCAGCGAAGGAGCACCCACCCCCTTCCGAGGCAGACTGTTCCACTGCTCAACCACTCTGACAGTTAGGAAGTTTCACCTGATATTGAGCTAGTATCGACTCCCTTGTAATTTCCACCCATTAGATCCAGTCTTGCAATCTGGAGCAAGAGAGAATAGATCCGCTCCATCTTCTACACGACAGCCCTTCAGATATTTGAAGACTGCAATCCTGTCCCCTCTAAGCCTTCTCTTTCCCAGGCTAAACACCTCCTTGTATTTGCCCAGATGTTTCTAAGCATTATTCTGCAACCTTAAGGGTGAAAATCTCTTATGTTCTCCATTTAATTCCTTGCATGATAGCAAAGGCTCTTCAGATTTTGAATTCATGTATATAACGTATGGGAGATACAATCAGGAAACATGTAACCCTTTGTGTTGTGAAGGGCAGGATATAAATCTTCTTCTTCTTCTTCTTTGTCAGTGGTGGCCTCCATAAAACTTGCACTAGGCTCATGGGCCCAAAGAATAGCTTCAAGGGCTCAGAGATTTCCTCTCCTGAGACCAGGAGAGAAAGGGAATGGGCACAAAAGTATGTAGTTCAGGACTTGGAGAGTGCAGGAAAATTCAAGGATGTGTTGCAGAGAAAGGAGACGATTCCATCAGGTTCCCCAACCGGGCTTCTGGGTGATTGATCTTTGAACTTGGTGGCTGCTTTAGACTGAGTCTCCCTATCTTCCAATGAGAAGGTCAAATAACTGGAGATTAACTCCCCTTCTCTCTCCCCCTTTCTCTGTGCTGGCTGCCCCCAGTCATCCCACCTGTGATGGATATTAGGGTGACGATTGATGTAGCATTTTAAATTGTTGTTGTTGTAGTAGTAGTACGAGGAGGAGGAGGAGATTGGATTGATACCCCGCCCTTCACTACCCAAGGGGGTCTCAGAATGGCTGACAACCTCCTTTCCCTCCCCCTCCCCACAACAGACACCCTGTGAGGTAGGTGAGGGCTGAGAGAGCTCTTGACAGAAACTGCCCTTTCAAGAACAGCTCTTACCAGAACTATGGCTTGCCCAAGGTCACCCAGCAGGTGCAAGAGGAGGAGTGAGGAATCAAACCCGGTTCTCCCAGATTAGAGTCCACGCACTTATCCACTACACTACAGGGGTAATTTCATAGAAAAAGTGCAGGAGCTCATGAGCATAATTCATTAGCATTACTTATTTGCATATGCCACACCCCCTGACATCACTGGAAGTGTGTCAAAAGGCAACACCCACCACTCAAACTCCACTGGACTGTTTTGGATTGCTAGCTATTGGGGGGAACGTGCAGATCTGTCCTCGCAGAGGAGGGAGAGCTTGTACCAGAATAAAACCTGGTCTTAAAGGTGCCACTGGACTGTTTTGGACTGGGGGGTGGGGGTTTCTGCAGCTTACCTGGCTGCTTCTTGCTCTGACTGAGGGCTGCTGGGAGCAGGGGGTGAGGCTTGTTGCATGTGCCCGCCCCCTGGGCTCTTTACTGCCGGAGCTCCGCTCCTGTGTGCTCCTGCAGGAGATGACCCAACTTAACCACTACACGAAACTGGCTGTAGTATGCTGAACTATTGTATTTTTGATAGTCGTAAGCCACCCTGAGCCCTGCTTGGCAGGGACTGGAGCAGGAGAGAAGCCTAATTAACATCAATAAATCACCTCTCTGGGCCTGGGAGGCAGAGCAACAGCCAGGGGGAGGGGCTTCCCACCTGCCAACTGCTGTGGTCCCTCCACTACGCTACCTCCACAGCGCATGAGCAAAAGGTATCCAAGGGTTCCACAATAAGAAGAAGAGGACGAGATTGGATTTACACCCTGACCTTCCCGCGGAGTTTCAGGAGCAGTTTACAATCCCTTTCCCTTCCCTACAACAGACACCCTGTGAGGTCACTGAATGTTTATTAATGGCTGAAAAAGAGCTGAATTCCTGCCAATTCTAATCAACTATTAAAGAAGTCTTTCAAATCTTGCCACCAAAGCACAGAATGAAGCCAAAACAAATATTTGCACATCTGTAATTTTTACACAACCTTCAGTCTAGTAATCTTTTGAACTCAGGCTTTGCAGGTCTGAAACACTGCACCCTGGTTCACTAGGATCACCTCCTAAATCTCATGTTATTTTCTTCTTAACATGTGAGTGGGGAAAGTCTGAGAAAGTAACTAGAGTCTGCTATTTTTGTAAAGAATGAAGGGTTAGATGTGAGAAGCAAAACTGTGTATTTTAACTGGTCCCACATCTTTTATGTAAAAGCTCGACACATGCATAAGAGTTAAAGCCAAAAAAAAGTAATATGATGGGATCAGGGGTCGTTTTGTAGAAAAAGAGCTAGGGGAACTCATTAGCATAACTCATTAGCATATGCCACACACCCTGACCTCATAAGGCCCGGCGGTGGACCTGCAAGGCCGGCGGGAGGGTGAGGAAGCCCCGCCAAGACCCTCCCTGGCCCCAGGCAGGCAGGGGTGGGGAGAGGCAGGGAGGAAGCAACTTACCCTCCCTCTTCTCCTGCCTCCTCCTGGCTGAATGAGGGCCGGAAGCAGGGTGGCCGGAAGCAGGGGGCTGGGCTTCATCATGTGTCCCACCCACCCCGTACCTCACCCGGGGGAACTGCGATTCCCCCCGATTCGACCTCTGAATGTCAGGTATCTGAGAGCCACAAGACATCGACAAAGACAACCCACACGTTTTTATTGGAAAATATGAAAAATTGTTTTTTTATTAACAATAAATGAGACTGGAGCAGGAGAGAAGCCTAATTAACATCAATAAATCACCTCTCTGGGCCTGGGAGGCAGAGCAACAGCCAGGGGGAGGGGCTTCCCACCTGCCAACTGCTGTGGTCCCTCCACTACGCTACCTCCACAGCGCATGAGCAAAAGGTATCCAAGGGTTCCACAATAAGAAGAAGAGGACGAGATTGGATTTACACCCTGACCTTCCCGCGGAGTTTCAGGAGCAGTTTACAATCCCTTTCCCTTCCCTACAACAGACACCCTGTGAGGTCGGTGGGGCTGAAAGCTCTCTCGAGGACTGCTCCTGAGAGAACAGCTCTGAGAGAACTTGTGACTGACCCAAGGTCCCCCAGCTGTCTGCACGTGGAGGAGCAGGGAATCAAACCCGGTTCTCCCAGATTAGAGTCCGCGCTCTTAACCATGACACCAAATTGGCTTTCACTGGAGTCCGTCCCCATGGAATGGCCTGAAGCTCAGCAGGGTCAGCCCTAGCTAGTATTTAGACGAGGAGACCTCCAGGGTTGTGACGTGGAGGCAGGCAAAGGCAAATCGCCTCTGAACGTCTCTTACCTTGAAAACCCCATGCGGGGGTAACTAGAAGCCAGCTGTGACTTGACGACACATTCTACCCCCACCCCATGGAGTCGTTCCTGGCTACTTCCCTCCAGGGGTCAACCCAGGAGACCATGTAACAAATCATTTAAACCAGGAGTGGCCAGACTCGCTTAACATAAGAGCCACACAGAATGGGGCCCGGCGGTGGACCTGCAAGGCCGGCGGGAGTGTGAGGAAGCCCCGCCAAGACCCTCCCTGGCCCCAGGCAGGCAGGGGTGGGGAGAGGCAGGGAGGAA